CTCCCAATTTTTGCAACTAAAAAAACAAGCTTCCACAAGAGAGTCATTCTGAACGAAATAAAAGTCATACGACTATAGTATTATTTACGTATTTTATTTGTGAGCTGTGCTTTCTGACAAAATGAATTTAAAAACTTAGTCCAGCGCGAACATTTATCGGCCTTTTTTAATGACGTTAATCATTGTTAGCAATAAAAATCAACCTATGCTACAGTATTTTTTAGGCAATTTTTACCTAAGTTTTCCTAAATATATCTTCTATAAGTAAACTCTATAAAATTCACATTCCATTTAAACACATGCATATAGTACCAAGTAAAATGGCTATATTATTCTAAAAAGAAAGAAAAATCTAGTTTATAGAGGCATATTCTCTACTGGAGTAATACAGCAGTCATTTATAATGATTTTATGATAAATTAGTTTATACTGTATTCTAGATATCATAGTCAAGCACTTCGTAATATAGATTTGCTGAATAATGAAGCGTTTCCGATAAAGACATTTTATCAATCTCATCGAAATATATCGAAGTTAAACGCAGACTTAAAGGATCAACATTAAGATGAACAGCGACTTTATTAATAACCTAAATTTATCGACATAAAAAAAAAATTTGATTAGATAAATAAATAATGATAAAAAAGATGTTTAGATTTGAACAATTCAACGCACAGCTTCATATGTCATTTTGTTATTTAAAATTAAACCAAACTCAGGAATCAGATCACGATATCCGAACTTTGACTTAAATTGAACGATAACATTCTTTGATAATGATTCATAATATTGTGGAATGCTGTAGAAACGGCCCGCAGAAATGTGTTCTTGAATCCTAGACAAAAGAAATTTTCTTAAATTAAACATAAATTATAGAGAGATCGAAGTTATTAATTCATACTCTTGATTTGTTAATGCTTTTTGGAAGCATATTATATCGCCATTTATTATCTCTGATCTTTTAAAAGTAAAATCTGGATACATTTTATCAATTCTGTCCGGTCTTATTTCCTAGAGTTTAGTGAATATGTATATGAGAATATTCTATGGATTCATATTGTATAACATAAATTAATAAAGTAACTCACCTCATATACATCTATAGGTGTGTTTGGTAGGAGGTTTTTTTTCATGCAAAGAATGGGAAAAATTTCACCAACAAGACCCTCTTCGCGAACATACAACTGACCAATGCTTCTGCTCATGTGAATATAATAAGTAAAGTTGCATTAATTTTATAATTAATAGCCCATACTTATTTCTACACTTTACAGTATTTCAAATTTACATACTCTAATGACTGCGTATCTGGATTAAAATATTTAAGAAAAACTATAACTGAAGATTCATTATTCGGCGGAAACACTTTCTGTATTAGGTAATAAAAATTAGGCTTACAAATAATTGAATTGAATATGCAATAGCTTTCGAACGCTACATTACTTCTGAATTTATTTGTTTCTCTAATATCTCCATGTACAATTTAAACTCATCATGTCGATATCCCATTG